ATTTTATTTTTATTTTATGTGTCTGAGTGTTTTGCCTGTATGTATGTAAGTGCATCCATGATGTGCAATGCCTGCAGAGGCCAGAAGAAGGCATCAAATCCTCTGGAACTGGAGTTAAGGATGGTTGTTAGCTACTCTGTGGGTGCTAGGTCCTCTAAAAGAGCAGTCTCAAATAATTTCATTTTTGAAACTGTCTTAATAAACACCAACTCTGTCTGCCTCATGCTATCTTGTGGTGATATCAAAAATTCCGGCTTTAGGGCCAGTGAGATGGTTCAGGGGAGAAAGGTGCCTGCCACCAAGCCTGACAACCTGAGTTTGAGCCCCAGGACACACCCAGTACAAGGAGAGAACCAACTCCCTTGGGTTGTCCTCTGACCTCCACACATGGGCTGTGACACACGATTACCACCGACAAAGTACTAAATAAAATGTAATGGAAACTAATATGAGCTCCACGACTCTTGGCTGCTCCATGGCTTGGTGTCTCTGGCCCGAGCTTCACCACACTGAGAGGGACACCACAGTGCTGAGGACAGTACCAGGAGTACTTCTGGCACCTTCCTGAGTACGCAAGGAACAAGTGGTACTGACTTCTGTCCAAGAAGGTCCTTTCCAGGCTGCCTATTCTTAAACCAGTCCCCCTGGCACTGGGTCTCCATTTCTACAGCTCAAAAGTGAAGCGGGGCATTTAGGAGATAGATGGTCAGTGGATAATGTGCATGCATTACAGGCAAGAGTATCTGAGTTCTGATCTCACCTCCCACTTGGCAGCATGGGCTTAAAACTGGATGGTGCAGACAAGAAGATCTTGGGGGTTCACTGGTCAGTCACCAGTTCCAGGTTCAATGAGAGACCCTGTCTCAAAAATAAAAATAAATAAATAAATAAATAAATAATAAATAAATAAGGGGCTGGAGACGGCTTAGCAGTTAAGAGCACTGAGTGCTCTTGCAAAAGAACAGGGTTTGGTTCTCAGCACCCACATGGCAGCTAACAACCATCCATAACTCCAGTTCCAGGGGATTTGACGCTCTCTTCTGACCTCCACGGGCACTGCATGACATGGGTGCACTTACATGCATTCAGGCAATACACTCATATACATAAAAAATTAAAAAAAAAAAACATGCCGGGCAGAGGCGCCTTTAATCCCAGCACTTGGGAGGCAGAGGCAGGCGGATCTCTGTGAGTTCAAGGCCAGCCTGGTCTACATAGTGAGTTCCAGGACAGCTGGGGCTACAAGGAGACCTTGTCTCAAAAAGACCAAAAAAAAAAAAATTAATTAAAAAAATAAATAAAAAGTGGAGAGCATTTGAGGTGACACCCAGTGTTGACCTCTGGCCTCCACATGTGCACACATTAACCTCCCCTGCTGCCCATGCAAGTAAAAAGAAAAAAAAGGAGGAGGGGATCGGTGTTGGTGTTAGTCCACGTACTTGAGAGGTTGAGGCAGGAGGATCAGAGTTGATCACCAGCCTAGGCTACATAGCAAATTCAAGGGCACCTTGGGGCACAGAGAGATCCTGTTTCAAAATAAAAAGGGGCTGGGGATGTAGCTCAGTAGTAGACCCTTGCCGCGTATGCAAGGCCCTGGGTTTAATCTTTATCATTGTACCAAAGCAAACACATAACCAATAAGGGCTGGAAAGATGGCTCAGTGGTTAAGAGCAGGTACTGCTCTTGCAGAGGACCCCAGTTCAGTTCCCAGCACCCCCAATTCCAGGGAGATTGGATGCCTCTGACCACCACAGGCACATACACACAGTGCATAGACCCATGCTCAGACACAAACACAAGTGAAAAGGTAAGGTTTGGACTAGGCATATAGCTCCGTGGTGGAGTACTCACCTAGCATGAGCTCTACCCCTAGTACCACATAAATAAGAAACAATGTGAGGGGCTGGAGAGATGGCTCAGCAGTTAATAACACTGGTTGCTCTTGCAAAGGACCCAGATTTGAGTCCCAGCACTTACATGGTGATTAACAACCGTCTATAATTCCAGTTACAGGGGATCTGATGCCCTCTTCTGACCTCTATGGGCATTGTAGGACAGCCATGCACTTACATCCAGACAATACACTCATACACATAAAAAATAAAAATAAATAAGCCAGGCATGGTGGTGCACACCTTTAGTCCCAACACTTGGGAGGCAGAGGCAGGCAGGTATGTGTGAGTTCGAGGCCAGCCTGGTGTACATAGTGAGTTCTAGGCTAGCTGGGACTACAGGGAGATTCTGTCTCAAAAAAGACCAAAAATAAATAAACTTAATTAACTAATTTAAAAACTGGGCTAGAGTTCAGCATGGTAGTTTTAACTTATAATCTCAACACTCAGGAGATGGAGACAGGAGAATCAGAAGTTTGAGGCCAGCCTCAGCTATGCAGATAGTAGGAGGCTAGCCTTGACTACCTGAGATTTGTCTCAACTAGAAGCTAGGATTGGACTAGGATTGGGGGGTGGAGGGAAGCCTGTTGAGGACACTGCCCCTTGGTGGCCACTTCCGGCATAGCGGGGAGGCGAGGATGTGTCATTTGCTATTCGGATGACCACCAGAGGGCAGAAGAACACAATAGTCACTGAGTTAAACTCACCCCCCGACACACACCTCTCCATCCTCACCCCTTGGTAGCCTTATCTGTGTCCTCTCTGCCCTCCACCTAAGTCCACAGCAACCCTAGGAAGGATGTAGCTCTGACTCTCTGGAAAAAAAGACTTCTCTGAAACTCTTCTCTGGAACATGCTTAATACAGCCACTCAATCAAGAGAAGAGGCCAGAGCACCTACAAAATGCCAGGTCCCAAGCTGGCCATGGCGGCTCATGTAATCCCAGTTCTCCAGAGGCTGAGGTAGGAGGATGACTAACCGGGTGTTTGAGACCAGCCAGAGCTACAGAAACCTTGTCAAAAACACTCATGCAAGGGGAGAGATGGAAAGAGGGGGAAGGGAGAGAGGGAGAGAGAGAGGGACGGGTTAGCGGCCAAGGCGCCATTTTCAGTCTTTTAGGGTACTGATGAACAGGAGAGGCCCACGTTCTGCCCAGATGGGATTCATAATCTTGTGGGGGAGACAGAGACCAAATTTTGTTAGAGGTGGTCCTGGATGTGGGGTACATGAAGGCCAAGTGCAAAGGCCTACAGGTAGGGAAAGCTTGAGCTCCTCTAGAGAGGAGGCCAGTTTGGTTTGTTGGAAAATTCCCTACCCGCCAGAAGTAATGAAGAACTGATGATACCTGCCCAGCATGGAAGAATCTGGAACGCAGCCAGTCACTAAGGGTCACAGAGCTGGGTGTGGTGATACACACCTGTAGTCCCAGAACTAGGGAGCTGGAAGCAGGAGGATCAGGAGTTCAAGTTTGGCTAAGTAGTGAATTTGAGTCCAGCCTGGACTACATGAGACCCTGTCTCAACAAAAGAGAAGGTTGAAGTTGGGTGTGGTTGCACTCTACTTTAGTCCCAGCACTCAAGAGGCAGAGACAGATGGATCTCTGTGAGATTGAAGCCAGCCTGGTCTACATAGTGAGTGCCAAGCCAGCTGGGGCTACAGGGAGACCCTGTCTCAAAAAGACCAAAAAGAGTGGGGGGAAGGAAGGTTAAAAAATATTTAAAAGGGAATAGCCCAGCTTGGGGGTGTACGCCTTTAATTCCAGCACTCAGGAGGCAGAGGCAGGCAGGTCTCTCTGAAGATGATTCTAGCCTGGTTGGTTAACATATAGAGTTCCAGGTCAGCTGAGGCTACAGGGAGACCCTGTCTCAAACAGACCAAAAAAAAAAAAGTCTAGGTTTGCTTTTTCATTTAATTTAATTTAATTATTTTTTATTTTATGTGTATGCGTGTATTGCCTGCATGTAGGTAAGTGCACCTGTGTCGTGCAATGCCCTCAGAGGTCAGAAGAGGCTGTCGGATGCCCTGGAACTGGAGTTATGGACAGTTGTTAGCTGCCATGTGGATGCTGGGATTCAAACCCAGGTCTTCTGCAAGAACAGTCAGTGTTCTTAACCTCTGAGCCATCTCTCCAGCTCCTATTATTTTTATTTTATGGGTATGAGCATATTCCTCTCATATAGGTTGGTACATTCATGCCATGCAGTGCCTTCAGAGGTCAGAAGAGGGCGTCAGATCCCCTTAAACTGGAGTTATGGATGGTTGTTAGCCTCCATGTGGGTGCTGGGATTCAAACCTGGGTCTTCTGCAAGAACAACTAGTGTTCTTAACTGCTAAGCCATCTCTCTAGCCCCAATTTGCGTATTTTTTTAGATTTGCATATTTAAAAAAATTTTTTTTGGTCTTTTTTTTTTTGAGACAAGGTCTCCCTCTAGCCCCAGCTTTCCTGGAACTCACTATGTAGACCAGGCTGGCCTTGAACTCACAGAGCTCCACCTGCCTCTGCCTCCCGAGTTGCTGGGATTAAAGGCATGCACCACCACTCCCAGCTTAAAATTTTTATATTTTATGTGTATGAGTGTTTTGCTTGCATGTATAACTGCACCACATGTGCAGTGCCCATGGAGGCCAGAAGATGGTGTCAAATCACTTAGAACTAGAGCTACAGATGGTTCTGGGAACCAGACCTGAGTGCAGCTGGTGCTCTTAACCGCCGGGCCATCTCTCCAGCCCTAGATTTGGTTGTTTTTTTGTTTTGTTTTGTTTTGTTTTGTTTTGTTTTTATAGTATATCACTCTGTAGCCCAAACTGGCCTAAAACTTGAGGCACTCCTCCTGCCTCAGCCCAAGCGCTGGGAATAAAGGCCTGTACCCCTACACAGCTTGGATTGTTTTTCTTTGAGACATTAACAACTTTATGTATTTATTGGGTACAGTGTGACTGGTTTTTGACTTAAGAGTTATTTTCTTTTCTTTCTTTTGGGGAGTATTTTTGACAGTCCTGGAAATAGAACCATGCATGCTGGGTAAGTTATTTTACCATTGAGTTACAGCCCCAGTTTGTTTGAGCACAGGGTCTCAATATGTAGCCCAGGTTGGCTTTTTTTTTTTTTTAAATGTGGAACACTTCACGAATTTCTGTGTCGTCCTTGCACAGGGGCCACGCTAATCTTCTCTGTATCGCTCCAATTTCAGTACACGTGCTGCCACAGCGAGCTCGGCTGGCCTTCCTCACCATTCCCCTGCCTTGGCCAGGTCCTCAGTGCTGGGATTTCAGGTAGACACAGTCACACCCACATCTGTGTGGTTCTGGTGTGTACAACATGTAGTGATCATGTGGAGGCACTTAGCAGGCTGCTTAGTATCACTTAGCATCACTTCAAACACTGAGCACATCTTTGCATAGAGAACTTTGGAAATCCTCTACTACGTATTTTGAAAAATACAATAAATTGTCTCAGATTCTAGGTCCCATACTGTTCGGTAGAACACCAGAACCTGTGCGTCCCAGGTAATTGTAATCTTGCATCCATTAACCACCTCCTGCGATCATTTCTCAGAATGCTTCTGTGGTGACAACCTTTTCAGCTTCCACCTGTGGGTGAGGTCATTTGGTGTCTAGGTCTGGCTTCTTCCAACCTGTGGGTGAGGTCATTTGGTGTCTAGGTCTGGCTTCTTCCATTTAGCATCATGTTCTCCTGGCTCAATTATATTGCTTCAAATGACACGATTTCCTTCTTCTTGGCTGACTAATATTCAACTATGCACAGACACTGCGTTTTCTTTATCTAGACATCTAAGAAGATACTTAGGCTCTGCATTGGGGAGAGTCCAAAGTAAAATGCTGAGGAATGACAGCACCCCAAACCTGAGGACGGTAAGTACCAGGAGAGAGGATAAAGAGCTCTGAGGCCAGTAAAGCCATGCTGCTAGACAAGGAGGGGCACATTCAGAGACATTATGGTTGAAATATAGACAAGAAACTTACCTGGGTCCTGGACAGTGGAGTCGGGGGTACACTTTGGGAGTGAATTTGTTTTTGTTATTATATAACCCTGATAGGCCTACAACTTGCTATATAGACCAGGCTGGCCTTGAACTCACAGGATCCATCTGCTTCTGCCTCCCACATGCTGGGATTAAAGGCATGCACCACCATGCCTGACTTTCTTTTTAAAAAAAATTTATTCATTCATTCATTGTTATGTGTATGAGTGTTTTGCCTGCATGTAAGTGCACCATGTGGGTGCAAATCTACAGAGACCAGAAAAAGGTGTTGGATCCCCTGGCTAAGGCCAGGATCTGTCATTGGGCAGAAGGTTTGGGTGGCCAACAACCCTGTGCTCTGGGCTCCACAGTGGAAGATGGTAGAGCTACTGACACAGAAGGAAATACCTTGAGCATGGATGATCTAATGTCCCCACTGTCCAGAGAGAGGCATGTAACTCACCCCTGATAACACAGGCGTCAGCATTAGGGGATGGGGCTATCTCAAGTTGAATCCCTGTAGTGGGCTGAGTCGGGATTCCTCAGCCCAGAGAGAGGGAGACCAAACACTCAGCGATAAGCTATGTCAAGCCAAGCAACACAGGCACAGGAGACTGAGCTCTGGAGGCCACTGCACAGAGCTGGAACCAGAAATGAAGCATCTGGAGAGGGTGTGCCCAGTAGGGGAGGGGACGAGGGGGTGATGTGGGGTGAGTGCAGTGGAGCCTTTCTCAATTCTGTTTAAGACAGGGTCTCCCGATACTGGAGAGATGCCTCAGCAGTTAAGAGCACTGACTGCTCTGTAGAAGACCCAGGTTTGAATCCCAACACCCACATGGTGACTAACAACTATCTACAACTCCAGTTCCAGGAGATCCAACACCCTCTTCAGGCCTCTGGGGCCACTGAACAACATAGGTACACTTACATACACGCAGGTGTAACATTCACACACATAAAATATAATTGATTTTTAAAAAGACAGGGTCGGGGCTGGAGAGATGGCTCAGCGGTTAAGAGCACTGACTGCCCTTACAGAGGACCTGGGTTCAATTCCCAGCACCCACATGGCAGCTATAAACTGTCCTTAACTCCAGTTCCAGGGTAATCCGAAGCCCTCTTCTGACTTCTGCAGCATTGCAGAAACAGGTGCACTCACATACATGCAGGCAATACACTCATACACATAAAATAAAAATAAATAAAATATTTAAAAAATAAAAAGACAGAGTCTCCCCGTAGCCCCAGCTGGCCTAGAGCTCATAATGTAGACCAGGCTGGCTTCAATCTCACAGAAATCCTGCCTCTGCCTCTCTGGTGCTGCATCTAAAGGTGTGTGCCACCATGCCCAGCACTATTCTCCACTATTGTTGGGTTTAGCATCCTGTGTATGCTCCCTCAGCCCAACTAGAGTTACTCTTCCATTCAGGGGAGGTTACATGTGCTATAGGACTGGCTGATGACCCACCATGGGCCCTGTCCTTACTGCCCAAGAGGAGCTATCTCTTGTCAGGATTGGGACCAATATCCCTAAGTCCAAAAGAAGTCTGTTTTACTGGGATGTCTCTCACTTGCTCCCACACTTCAGGGAACCAGGCATCCAATCAAGGAGGTGGGCAGGAGCCAGTCTGAAGCCAAGGGGAGGTAGGCTGGGTCAGGACAAGCCATGACATGTCTGGATCCCACAGGACAGACATGCACACAGTAAACATTCTAGGAACACTCAGAGAGGGTACCAGCAGGTGCAGGCTTGCTCTAAACACCCGCCAAGCTGTGTGCTGGAAGTCCGAGGGGCAGAGGTGACTGCAGCAGTCGGCCTGGCTTTCAGCCTTGTATTCTGATGTTGGAAGCTGAGGGTCTGGAGCTGGAGTTCAGTTGGTAGAGTGCTGGCCAAGCATGCACCAAGATCTGAATTCAGTTCCCACCATGCTATAAACAGGGTGTGGTGGTGCACAATTGTAACAGCCCTTGGAAGGTAGAACCAGATGGATCAGAAGTTCAAATCATCCTTGCCTACATAGCAAGTTTGAAGTCAGCCTGGGCAACCTGAGACCCTGTCTCAAATAAACAAAACCAGGACTTTGAGAAGCTCATGGGCGTAGCTTACTTTCTTCCTGAGTTCTCTTAAACCCAGAGTTTACATTAAAATTAATTTTCATAAATTCTAATTTTCTTTATTTTTTTCTGATCTTTTTGAGACAGGGTCTCCCTGTAGCCACACTTGGCCTGGAACTCACTGTGTAAGACCAGGCTGGCCTTGAACACGCAGAGCTCCACCTGCCTCTGCACGTGCCTCAGGCACGTGCCACCACACCCAGCTATAAATTCTAATTAAACACTGCAAAACTTTGGTTTAGAGGAAGGAATTAAAAAGTTTTTGGAATAAAATCATTTTCATTAACAAACAAAACATAACACAGCTGGTTTAAGGTGGTCAAACACGGAGCTGGAGAGGTGGCTCAGTGATTAAGAACACTGGTTGTTTTTGCAGAGGACCCGGGCCAGTTCCAGGTGACGCCCTGCTCTCTTCTGACCTCTGAGGGCATTGCACAAGACAGGTGCACTTAAATACATGCAGGCAATACACTCATACACATAAAATAAAAATATTAAATAAAATATATTAACAATTATTTTTTTTAAAGGTCAAACGCTTGCCCAGCCCCAACATGAACACATTTCTGTGAGCCTCTGCACGGTGAGCACACGGTGGCCACTGGGGAGCAGTGGAGATGCTAATGACCAGGTTCATATGGGCTTTGCAGTACCACTATCAATAGGCTACGGTTTTCACAGTTAAGTTGGTCACCAGAGCCCGTTTTCCAATTCTTCAGCTTGAACTTCTTGATTAGAGAAGCCCCTCTATTACAGGCCTGCTCTGCTTCAGCACCTCATTCAAACCCTCACAGAGCTCACTCTGCTTCTGGAACACTTCAGAAACTGTCTGACCTCAAAAATGCAAGGGCCACCAGACTACTGCTCCATCAGCTGGGCTCCCTGAGGCTCCTGGTAAGTGATATCAGGCTTTTTGGGCTCAGCATTACCACATCCATGGAAGCCGCCAGTGATGACCTGCCCCAGTGTGTGCCCCACTGCAGAGTCCACAGCCATACCAGCTGCGGTGGTTGCAGTATGGGCCATCAGGCCTGGTTGCCAGGGTACAGTGGCAGGTGAGCCAACTGCAGATGGTGGGGCTGCTGCCGGAGGCTGAGCTGAGGTGCTGACCTGGGAGCAGTTCTCATCCTAGGGGCCTAGCTGGCCAGAGGGGATATTTAGGAATTGAGGTTATGACTTTTTGTTTATGCAAAAGCCCTGCGGCATTTCTGGAACCTGATGGCCTGGGGTGGCTGAGTCCTTGCATCCAATCCTTTTCCCTTTCCTCTTCATTTCCTTTGCACCATTTCTTTTAAAACTAGTCAACCGTTGGGCTGGGTGTGGTAGTGCACGCCTTTAATCCCAGCACTCAGGAGGCAGAGGCAGGAGGATCTCTGTGAATTCAAGGTCAGCCTGGTCTAGATACCGAGGTCCAGGCTAGCTGAGGCTACATTGAGATCCTGTCTCAAAAAGACCAAAACAAGAAAACAAAACAAAAAACTAGCCTACCATGAAAGACTGTGAGGTCCAACTCTAGCCAATGGGGAAATTCTGTGCTCTTGTGTTAGGGATAAAAACCCAGCAAACTTTTGGGTTGGTTGAGCTTGCTCTATCTGAATGGTGAAACACATCCTTTTGCAAAAGTAAAAGCTGCCTGATGGAGTTACCTTCACTTTGTCTCCATGTTCTTTGTGAGCTGTCAGTAGGGTCCTTGGATCTCAGATTTCTAATTATGCTTCAAAAAAAACAAAACAAAAAGCAAAATCAGGGACCAGTGAGATGGCTCAGCAGGTAAAGGTGCTTGCCCTCAAGCCCAATGACCTGAGTTCAACGCCCCAGGACCCACATGAAAGACCATTGTAAGAGGCAGCGTTTTCCAAGGCTCTCAGACTGCAGTTTTTGTGGCTGTCTTGTCTTATCTCAGTCTAAGACTGAGCTCAAAGTGCTCTTGATAATTTGAGTATAAGCAGAAGCTCCCAAAATCCTTACTGTTACTTTTACATATATCAACAAGCACACTTATTATTAGCGTACATAAGGTTCTTGTGAACACATTTGTCAGTACTTACTCATCCACCACACAGAACAAAGTTACAGTGAGGTAGTTTATCATCAACATCTGCCCCTTCCTTCCCATC